TTGACTGTGTGGATCACAAGAAAACTGTGGAAAATTCTTAAAGAGATGGAAATACCAGACCACCTTACCTGTCTCCTAAGAAACTTGTATGCATGTCAAGAAGCAACAGTTAGAACCTTACAGGGAACAATGGACTGGTTCAAAATTGGGAAAGGAATACAACAAGGTGTATATTGGCACACTGCTTATTTAACTTCTATGCAGAGTATATTGTGTGAAATGCCCAGCTGGATGAATCACAAGCTGGAATCAAGATTGTCGGGAGAAATATCAACAACCATTAGAGTGGTATCACTCTAATGGCAGAAAGTGAAGAGGAACTAAAGAGCCTCTTGATGAGGGTGAAAAAGGAGAGTGAAAAATCTGGCTTAAAACTAAGCATTCAAAAAACTAAGATCATGGCATCCAGTCCTATCATTTCATGGGAAATAGATGGGGAAAAAGTGGAAGCAGCAACAGATTTTATTTTCTTGGGCTCCAAAATCACTACAGATGGTGACCACAGCCATGAAATTGTGTGGGTTTTCTATTTTATATATAGTAGTGTTTATCTGTTAATCTCAAACTCCTCTTCCCCCTTTGGTAACTTTAAGTTTGCTTTCTATGTCTGATTCTATTTGTTTTGTAAGTAACTTCATTTGCATCATTTTTTAGATTCCACAAATAAGTGGTATCATGTATTTGTCTTCTGACCTCCTTCACTGAGTATGATAATCTCTAGGTCCATGCATCTTGATGCTGTCAACTACAAATTGGCACTTTCCATGGTTGCTTGCCATCTGCCTCTACAAAGGATGAAATCATGTGCTGCTGTAGCTGCTTTCAACACCCATTGAAGGAGCTCAGAGTGGAGAACAGAAATGCACTCTGTACTCAGGAAAAAACTGGCAGGACAGTCTTCAGATAGATATTCTAAGAGCTGAGTTTATGAGCCCAATTCTCCTCATATCCAGAAAAACATTAAAATCCTTCATGGTGATGACTGTTCCTTTTGACTAGGAAAGGCTTCATGAGATTGTAGAAACCTTCTGGAAAAATATGTGCTTGATTGCATATATACTCTCTTCATCAAATATATGTATACTGACCTCCCCCCCCCACTCCCCGCCTTTATGAAGCAGTTTCTCAGAGCTATCTGCTAAGGTGCTGTCTCGCAGGCTCCAGTCCTCATTTTGCCCCAAATAGAACTTAACTCACAATTTTCAGGTGGTGCAGTTTAAGTCAACACTGCTAATGGCATTCATTCTTTTTCATAGGTGATGTGTGTGTGTGTGTGTGTGTGTGTGTGTGCATGCATAACACATCCTCTTTATCCATTCATCTGTCAACAGACCCAGATTGCTTCCATGTCTCGCCTGGTGTAAACAGTGTTGCTATGAACACTGGGGTGCATATATCTTCTCAAATTTGACTTTGCATCTTTTCTGAATATATGCCCAGGAGTGGGGTTACTGGATCACATGGTAACTCTATTTTTAGTTTTTCACTTCAGTTCAGTCACTCAGTCATGTCCAACTCTTTGCGACCCCATGAATCGCAGCACGCCAGGCCTCCCTGTCCATCACCAACTCCCGGAGTCTACCCAAACCCATGTCCATCAAGTCAGTGATGACATCCAACCATCTCATCCTCTGTCGTCCCCTTCTCCTCCTGCCCCCAATCCTTCCCAGCATTAGGGTCTTTTCCAATGAGTCAACTCTTCATAAGGCCAAAGTATTGGAGTTTCAGCTTCAATATCAGTCCTTCCAATGAACACCCAGGACTGAACTCCTTTAGGATGGACCGGTTGGATCTCCTTGTAGTCCAAGGGACTTCTCAAGAGTCTTCTCCAACATCACAGTTCAAAGCATCAATTTTTCAGTGCTCAGCTTTCTTCACAGTCCAACTCTCACATCCATACATGACGACTGGAAAAACCATAGCCTTGACTAGATGGACCTTTGTTGGGAAAGTAATGTCTCTGCTTTTTAATATGCTATCTAGGTTGGTCATAACTTTCCTTCCAAGGAGTAAGCGTCTTTTAATTTCATGG